ATACACTATATCAATATCCACAGTAAATACGGATTAATATATCTACAAATTTATTAAGAGATTTGCGTAGATACGAGGATCTGTTATTAAAAACATGTATATCCATATCCACAGTAAACATGAATTAATATATTTATCAATTAATTTAAAGATTTGCATAAGTACAAGTGAATACGTAGTTGAAAGGTCGCGAACTGATGGGCATCTCTTATTGTGCTCATGGTAGATGGGTAAACAATCTCTTTCGGACTAGGTTTAACCTATGCATCAATATCCATAGTATATACGAATTAATATATCTACCAATTAATTAAGAGATTTTCATACTTACACGTGGATATATGGTTGAAAACCTGTATATCCACATCGACAGTAAACACGGGTTTATATATCTATCAATCAATTTGAAGATTTGCATAAGTCCACGTGAATATGTGGTTGAAAGGTTGCGAGATTTTTTCATATAATTGATGGGCATATCTTATTGTACTCATGGTAAATTGGTAAATTTGCAATTCCAAGTGATTAAATATATTTTTGCTTATTGTCTCTTTATTTATCAATACGGTAAAATAAAATGAAAATTTCATATACATAAATGTATCCTGTGTTTGATTTAACATAGAACGAATTTGAGTTCCATAGAGTACATGAGTATTATATAATATGGGAAACAAACGTTTATCATAAATCTTTCAATACAACATATGCATTTGTGACCTATAAAATTTTAAAAAACCCATCCTATATACTGATGGAATGGAAATCGGTATTTTAAACATTAGGAAAAAATATCATAGATAAATCATTCGGAAAATTTAGAAACGCCTCATTGAATTGAATAAAAGAATAAATGAGGAAAAGGAAGGTAGACCAGAAAATCATTGGGCACTACTACAATTTCGCAATTTTCCGGGGACTCGTTTGCTTATTTAATAGACTTCTAATACAATGAATCAACGACAAAATTCGAAGACTCCCGGCCGCCAATCTGGAACGTTGACATATTAGATCCTCATCATTATGGTTTCCTTTGACACAAAATATTGAGCTAGCTAATAGCCATCAAATAGTTAACATTTATATTAGTTCATAACAAAACAAGGCACATTCTCATTGGAGAGTTACTTTGTTATTTAAAGTTTTCTACTATATGGAGTGAGTACATAAGGTATATATTTTGGAGACACTTATTTCTGTGTGAGAAAAAATATAGAAAAAGGGTATACAAAATTAAATAAAAACCCTTTCAAATTTTTTTTTTTTTTAAACTTTACTCAAATTTATGCATTACATCTTTTATTCAAATTTGTTGAAATTGACCGAATTCGAGCCCAAATTTTACATTGTCGAGCGGCTCGCGAGCGGCTCGAGATATATGGTAAATTACTAAAATACCCCTTCTATATATATAATTTGACAAAATTATTTGAAAATTTTCGAACCGAACTCGAGCCGAGTCGAGCATTTTGAATTCGAGTCGAGCTCGAGCTATTGTATTTTTTTATCGAGTCGAGCTCGAGCCTAAAAAATCGAACTCGACGAGCTCGAGCTCGAGCAGCTCAACAAAAAAATTCAATCCTGCTCGATAGGACCAATGCTCGACTCGGCTCGGCTCGTTTGCAGCCCTAACCTGCACGACCTGAAAACAATCACTTTCACAATGAAAAAAAAAAAGTAATGACAAAAGATCTTCAAAAAAGGGACTACCCAAAAATATCATGGATCACCAATAAATGGGGAAGGGCTGAATGGTAATTCACAATAAGCACCAACTTGAGCTAAAAGCACCTCCTCGGAAGTGATACAAATGGCTACACTTTCGTGTTATTATGCTCACATATTTAATTTCTATTATGTGTACAATCAATCTTTAAATAGTTATTTAGGGTTAATTGCATCAGATTCACTAAACTCACAGTTTTTGGCGCTTTGTCAATTCAGATTAAATGAAGGGTGGCACCGTCCTCCATAGCCAACCAAAAATTGGGTCAAAGTTGGAAATTTTAGCCAAACCAATATATAGTTGGGCTGACAAAACGCAATTAGCATTTAGCCATGGCAGTATAGCACGTAGAACCTAGAAAATAAAATATAATATATATACACACTATTGAGAGAATATCTTGTGATATTCTTATACGATAAATATGGCAATTGTATCTTGTTGATATGATATAGATTAGGTTGTATCAATTAGATGATATGGTAAATCTCGTAGATTAGGTCCTTTGATTTCTTTCCTTTCTTTCATCTCCTTTGGCTTGTATAAATACCTTGTAATCTTCATTGAGTTAAACAACAATTCAAGTTCTACATCATTCTCTCTACTTTTACATGGTATCAGAGAAGATTTTTTTGTAAACTCTAATCTAAGCCGCTGCCCCCCCTCTCTCTTTTGTCGGCCATGGCTAACTCCTTGGATGCTAACTCTCCATACTATGTGCATCCCTCTGATCACCCCGGTCTTGTTTTTGTCATCCATCCTTTATCTGACAATGGTGACAATTACTTTACCTGGAAGACATCTTTCCTCAATGCTCTTCGTTCCAAGAACAAATCAGGTTTCGTGGACGGCTCCATCTCTCCCGCTGATGCGGATTCTCCCGACTACAATAATTGGGTGCGCTGCAATGCCCTAGTCAAATCCTGGCTCATCAACTCCATTCATCAAAACCTTCAACCTATGGCGGCTCACATCGAATCTGCCGTTGATGTTTGGAACGACTTTGCTGAGCGCTTCACTCAAGGTATCGCCCCTCGTATTTATGAATTAAAGCGCACCATTGCTCTTCTCCAACAAGAAAAGACTTCCACTTCTGTTTATTACGGTAAACTTAAGAATGTTTGGAGTGAATTGCAAAGTCTTCGCCCATCTCCTGTTTGCACTTGTGGTGCTTGTTCTTGTGGTGCTGCTAATAAATTACGGACTCTTCAAGAAGAAGAAAAGGTATTTGATTTCCTCATGGGTCTCGATGACTCATACAAAATTGTCCGCTCTCAGATTCTCAGTGTCGAACCTATGCCCTCCCTTGGTCGCGCCTATGCTGTTGTCGCTCAGGACGAGAAGCAACGCTCTCTTGCTGATAATCGTCATCCTGTTGTTGAGGCCTCCAGTCTTCTTGCCAAAGCCCCTCAACCCGGCCGCGGGGCTACTCGTCGAGATGGTCGTCGCACTGGCCCCAACAAACTTCATTGCACTCATTGTCGGCGCTCCAATCATCTCGTTGAAAATTGTTGGGAGTTGCATGGTTACCCCGCCGGATGGAAGCCCCGCCAGAATGTCACCACCCCCGCTGCTCTCGCCGCTCCTGCCCAATACACCGCGGCTGACTCCGGCACTGCATCTCTCTCCGCGACAACGACGGCCGCCTCCCTGACCCCAGCCCAGCTGCAACAACTCTTTGCCATGCTTGGCACCCAGCCGCCTGCTGGTTCTTCAGCCGCCTCCACTGCACCTCCACCGTCGGCCTCCTCTACTAGTGGTAAGATACTTTGGGCAGCCGATTCTGGCGCCACTGATCACAGTACTCATATGATGCACTCCATAAT